CCGGCCCTTAGGCCGTATTAAAAACAACAACAACAACAAAAACAGAACAGAACTCACGGCGGTCAATCCAGTCAATCCAACTCTTGCTGACCTGACAGGGCGGGCGACTGCCCTTGTGAGTTTCAGCAACTGAAACTCCTTCGGACTGAATAAACCAAACACACTCCCATGGAGTCAATGCCGACTCAGTGACCTCCCGTGGGTTTCTGACACTGTAACTGCTTATGGGAGTAGAAAGCCCAGTCTTTCTCCCATGGAGCTGCTGATGGTTGTGAACTGCCAAAGACGTGGATGGCAGCCCAATGCACACATAACCACTACACCGCTATGCGAGTAGAAAGTCTCATCGTTCTCCTGAGGAGCAGCTGGTGGTTTCAAACAGCTGGCCTCAAGGTCAGCAGCCCAGCACATAACCACTATGCCACCCGGGCTCTCCAGGCCATGTACAGCCCCCCAAATCGCTAACACCAGCTAACGTCACACACCTCACCAAAAAGAAGCAGCTCCAGCCCTGGCATGAAGGATGGGTTCATTAAATGTTTGACCAAATAGCTCCCTGCCATGGAGTCCATGTAGACTCTATCGGGAGGGCAGAACTATCCCTGTACGTTTCTGAGACTATAGCTCTTTACCGAAGAAGAAAGGCCCGGCTTTCTCCCAAGGAGAAACTGGTTTAGAACTGCTAACCTTGCAGTGAGCAGCCCAATGTGTGACCACTAAGCCACTAGGGTTCCTTGAGCAAATACAGCAGGCTGATTTTGAAGTTGATCATTTTGTGTGGGACTTGAATGATCTTATAAATACCCAAATAATCCTTGGCAGAGAAAAGGTTCCCCACCCGCGCTCGAAAGTATAACCTAGAAGATTATCATGGTTTTACTGTGAGCAAAAAGGAACGGGTTCTTCGCATTTTATCCAAAATACTTCCCCATTTTTATGGAGGAAGTGTGGAGATGAGTCAACCACTTTAAAACAGAAAGGTGAACAATGCAAATGCTAGATCAGATTTTGCAAGGGGAAGTTCATTGCTGTTTCCTTCTTTAATATCATAAATAGTTGAGCTTTGAATATTTATATGATCCAAAGGAAGAAATAATGACCAAGTCGAGCATGCAATTGTCCTAAAGGATAAACCAACTTCATTATCAATAGCACAGTTCCTAATATTGGTGCTGTCTTAAACTGACGTGGTAACCTAACCGAGTACAGTACGTAGTTCCTGGTTCTCATTCGTGAAAGCTCTTCTACTTCCTGAAGTAAAGTGTTTATTTCTGTGTTCCTATTTATGCATATCTTTATATCTGCTTCATAATTTTAGATGCTAACTAGCTTTGACCACACAGAGTAGAAGGGAACTTTTTTGGAAACTATCTGACTAATTCAGGTAATTTCTCCAGTGTTACCTGAGAGGAGCCCTGGTGGCACAGTGGGTTACTTATTGAGCTGCTAACCAAAAGGCCAGCTGTTCGAAACCACCAGCCGCTCCTCGGGAGAAAGATGAGACTTTCTACTCTCATAATGAGTCACAGCCCCGGAAACGCTCAGGCAGTTGTACTCTAACCTATGAGTCAGAAACAACTTGAAGGCAGTGAGTTTGGTTCTTTGAAGTACTGGCTGAAATTTAGAAAGAAAATGGGGGAAGCAAAGTATTTTTTCTAGAACTCTCTAGATATTTACCTTAGGGTTGTTCCACATGTATTTATGTTTGGATGCATATGTATAACAACTGCAAGGTCCAGATCAAATCTAAAGACACTTTAGATCAGGTTGTTTATGAAGATGGAATAATAGTAGAATGAAAGCCAAGGAAATGTCTTAAATATGGAGAGAAAAATGCCTGTGGCCTTGCCTCTTTAATTTGTAGGTTAACATCGTGGCAAATATTTGTGGTTATTGACCTTGGACCATTATGACCAAGAACAATAACTCACTGCGTGGAGTTGATTCCAACTCGTAGCAACCGTATAGGACAGGGTGAATTAAAGAATTGCCTCCTGTGGGTTTCCGAGTTTGGAACTCTTTATGGGAGTAAAAAGCCTCACCTTTCTCCCAAAGAGTGGCCAATGGTTTCAAACTGCCATCCCGGTGGTTAACAGTCCGGTGCGTATACCCACTGCACAACCAGGGCTCCATCCAAGACCTATTACAACCAACCAAACTCACTGCCGTCAGTCAATGGTCACTCACAGTGACCCCTTGTGGAGTCTGAGACTAACGGTTTACAGGAGTAGAAAGCCCAATCTTTCTCCTGAGGAGCTGCCAGTGGTTTCAAACTGCTGACCATTTGGATTACAGCCCACTACTCCCCCAGGGCTTCAAGATCTAATACAGGAGCCGAAAATATATCCATTGACTTTCTCCCTAAGCCTTCCTTTTTCTCATGAACAAAGCAAACAAAGGATATCTGTCTTTTTTTAATACTCCAGACACAAGTCCACGATGTGTGTGCTAACAGCTCCTCCAACACCCAAGCAGACGGAATCAACGTGATACGTTTCACCACGAGACCAAGACCCTGTGTCAGACTCCTTCTCAACAGAGTCCTGCAGGGTGCCAACAACAATGGACGATGAGACCTCTTTCCCGTCCCCTCCTCGATCCCTGTTCCGGTGAATGCTGTTGAATGCTGTTGTTAGCTGCCACGGACTTGGGAGTCAGCTCGGATTCACAGCAGCCCTATGTACAACAAAGGAAGCCTCACACGTGTTCCCATTGTTGCGGCGACCCTGCCAACCCATCCCATTGAGGGTCTTCCTATTTTTCACGTGCCTGCTGCCTTTCCAAATCTGGTGTCCTTCCCCGGGCCTTGAACCCTCCTCGGGACATGTCCATCAGGCCGAGTTTGAGCACCCTCGATTCTAAGAAGCTTACTAGTTGGGCTTCTTCCATCACAGATTTGTTTGTTCATCTGGACGTGTCTGGTATATTTCATATCCTTCATCTGCCTCACAGTTCAAAGGCATCAATCCATCTCCAGTCTTCTTTCTTCAATGTCCGGCTTTCGAACGCACATGAGATATAAAACTACCATGGCTTGGGTCACACACACATCAGCCTTCAAAGTGACCTTTTTGCTTTTGAAGACTTCGTCGAGAACTTTTGTGGTATACTCGCTCAATGTGATGCACGGTTTGATGTCCTGAGTGCTGGGCCTTAACTCCTTGAGTGTGCTACCTGCGGATCCGCGTAAAACGAAACCTCTGACGCTTCAGTCTTTTCTCCATTTCCCAAGATGTTGATTACGGATCCAGTTCTGAGAGTCTATGTGTTGCTTTTTTCAAGGTTGAGGTGAAATCCCTATTGAAGGCAATAGTCTTCGGTTTTCATCAGTCAATCTTCATGTTACAGGGCGTTAACAAGTCTGTCTCCAGTCCCAGCGTCATCTTCCTTTGGTCCGGCTTCTCAGACTGTTTGCTCAGTCTGAGAAGGATGGAATAAATGTGATGAAATGATACTACCCTGTCGCACTTTTTCCTGGTTTTGAACTATACCCTTGTTCTGTTTGAACAATTTCTTCTATGTAGAGATTCTGCATGAGCTCAATAAGCCCAGTGTTCTGGGCTTCCCCTTCTTTATAAAGCTACCCACAGTTTGTTATGAGCCACATAGTTGAATGTCTTTGCATAGTCAACGAACGTGAGATTCTCTGCTCGCAGACAAGATCCACCTGAAATTGGCAATGATACTCCTCATTCCACGTCCCCTTCTGAACCAGGCTTCAATCTTTGGCCCAGATCCATCTGATATCAGCAATACAATCCCTGATTCCACATCCTCTTCTGAGTCCAGCCCGGATCTCTGGCGCCTCCCTGTCAGTGTACTGCTGCAGCCAATTTTTTATTATCCTCAGCAACATTTTACTTGAGTGTGATATTAGTAATACCTAGCATTATAAGGACGTGCAAGTCTCCACTGACAGATGGGTGGTGGCAGTGCCTGAACAACCAAACCAGGGTCCCCCCGTGGGAAATCGGGGGACTCACTGGTGCTCCCACTGGAAAAATGCCTGAATGTGAGAAAGCATGAACGACCACAGGTGAGTGCTGCTGCTTAAACCTGCCTGCCCTCACAAGGGAGGTGAGTATTCGCAGCTTTGAACAGTAGGAGTGGTGCTATAGGAACCATGTCAGCCCCTCAACTCGGTCTGTCCGGCTTCCTCCCCTGTGAGATTTGGCCAGCCATCCTGAGAGACCTATTGAAGGCTCCTTCGAGTCAGATCAGGGCTCAGGTCAGCCCTGGGACTGCCTAGAAAAGGCAGCAGCAAAGACAAGAAGCAAGGCTGCAGACTTGACCGTCAGGATGAGGCGGCCCCCCAGCTGCGATTTGAGGCCTAATCGCAGCAGAGAGCTCCGGAGCAGCGGGCAGAAGAGGCCCGAAGCTGCTCTGAAACTCTGATCGCCATTCCTCCTTTGGCACCCACGGGGGACTCTCACACGATGGTTTCCTAGCGCCTTCCCGTCCGTGATCTCATCTGATCCCCACTCCAGGCAGCACCGAGTCCCCGTGGGGGGACAATAGGCTCACTCGGCAGGCTGCTAACCAACCGGTTGGCAGCGGGAGGGCCTCAGAAGAAGCCCTTTCTGAAAAATCAGCCGCCGGAAACCCTACGGTTTCGGTTCTGCTCCAACCAGCAGGAGACCTCGTGAGGTGGAGCCGCCCTGAGCAGGCCTGCACTGTCACCCTGTTTCACCGCTAACACGGGCTCACTGTCCACGACCACCTCGCTATTGGTAGCAGAGTTTGTTTTCCTTAGTAATACCCAAACAAAAGGTTGTGAACACATGAGCCTTTCAGGTTAACTTTCCGATAATTGGGCCAATTCTCCCCTTCCCCTTGCCTGTGTAGGAGCAGTGTGGTGTCTAATAGTCGTCCAGGTGCATGCTGCAGACACCAGGCTGCAGGTGGTTTTCACACACCACCACCTCGACCCCTCGCCTCAGGTAGATGCCACCGTGGGCCCTCAGTAATTGAAAAGGTCTCTCTGTTCGTTTCTCTGGCAGATGGTGACCCTGTTGCAGATGTGGGTGGTGCCTTTGTATTTCACCGTAAAACTTTACTGGTGGCGGTTTCTCTCTGTGTGGGGAATGTTCTCCGTTATCACCAGTTACATCCTCTTCAGAGCCACCCGAAAACCCCTCTCAGGGAGAACGCCACGGTATGTATCCCCTGCATTCTCTTCCACAGCCCCTTTTTTGTTTTTAAGAGTAAGAAGTAGATCCCACGCGCGTTTCCCGGGGGAGGGGCTGTCAGGATCACAATACTGTGGATGCGAGTTCTGCTAGTGCTTCTTCACGTTCAAGTCTGACCGGTGATTAAGAGCGCCCGGGACCAGTCATTGCTTCAGCTACTGTGCTAGTGAAGACAGAGGGAAAGAGACGTGAAATTATTATTTTAAAATTTTAGAACACTTGGTACATGTTTATATTTAGCTCAGCAATTTGCTTCGGTCCTGTCTAAGTTGGGCTGCACACATTTTCAGATGGAGCTAGAGTTAGAAGCATGCATTGCCTCTTGAAATTGATAAAATCATAAAGGGTAGACAGTTTATTGCTCTCATAGCAAATGAGGCTTTAGTATTCTAATGGTTGATTCAATTACTAGAGCCAGGATTTTAAGGGTTTGCATAGCATTCAAAAGTCCATCCAGAGAGCTTCCTAAACAAGAGACGTGATTTCAATTTTGTTCTCAATCTCTTTGTTGTGTAAACAAGATCAGAATCCTCTTTCAGACAAATTGAAATGAGATGCATAAAAACTGGGTAAAATGTTAGATGATAATAAAACAATGTCCAATTTTTATCTCCCACAATCTCTGTGGGAGGAGGCATCATGAACTCCTATGTGGTGTTTTCATGGTTAGTCATTCAGATATTTGTTTTTACCCTTTAAAAGGCGTCAGAAGTACATGTCAACCTTCCTTTCCAGTTTGGAGAAGAAGGAAAAAATTCAGGAGACAAATCAGATAAATCAGTGTTCTGATAGGGACTAACAAATAGTTCGGGCTGACGGGTATTTTGACTTAATCCTAGCGGGGGAAGTGCTTAGGCGTGGGATGAGGAGACCTTTTCAGGTGGGCAGTTTGGGGTCTTGGGCACCTTTTGTAGGCCCTTCCTAAGTGGCATTCTCTGTTCTGCTTACAAAACGCTGGAAGTTACCTAAGCATTCCGACTGTGTACTAGTCTTTGAACTGCCACTCCACCTTTAGGTATTGTCTACATGACAGCTCGCTAGGTGGTGCATTACTCTGGCTAAACTCAGGTTGGTGTGCACCACGGCTCTCGCAGTGCAGAGGCGCTCCACTACGAGAACACTTGCCTCGTTGCACGCCGTGGCTCATGTACCTCGGATGACCCCGGTCCCGTATCCTCTGCCTCTTGCAACCACGTCAGCGCTGCTTGCCGGCCTAAAGCAGAATCTGTCGCCCACAGGCTCCACTGACATGCTAAAGGAGGCCCAGCTGCCATTGGAAAGCAGTGGGAGAAGGTGGCAAAAACCTCTTTTCTGCTAGAAAAGAAAACAAAACAAAAAACTCACTGCCATCAAGTCAATGCTGACTCATGGTGATCAGAGCAAGGTAGAACTGCCCAGTGGGTTTCCCAGACTGTAACTCTTCACAGCAATAGAAAGCCTCATCTTTCTCTGCTGGAACAGTGGATGGTTTCAAACTGTTGACCGTGTGGTCAGTAGCCCAACACATAGCCCACGACCCTACCAGGGCTCCTGTGGGAGAAGAAATCAAAATAAGGGTTTGATGACAGAAAAGGGTTATCATTGGGCTGCTAACCATGGGGCTGGTGTTTCAAACCGCCCAGCTGCTCAGTGAGAGGAAATTGAAGCTGGCTGTGGCTGTAAAGCTGTCGTCTCAGAAACACAATGAAGCAGTTCTGTGTTCCATTGGAACCAACCTGCCAGCAGCCAGTGGGAATACATGACAGGTAGTAAGGAAGTCCTAAGAAGGCCTGGTAGCGCAGTGGTTAAAGTGCTTAACCTTAAACTAACAGGTTGATGGTGTTCACGCCCACCGGCCTCTCCAGTGGAGGAACGTGTTCCCTCCAACTGGGTATCTCTGAGTTAGGCTGGATGGAAATCAGTTGGGGTGGGTTTAAGTCCTATGGATCTTTGCTTCATGATCATTTTGGCCGTCAATTGCAGCTAGCTAGTTTACCTTTGGAAACCACACGGCATGCTAGGAGAGCTGGCGGAAGCAAATCCATATTTTGCCCACTGTTCGTCCTGCCAGCAACTCAAACCGCAAGTCACTGTGGGACGAGTAAGCCCAAAAGCTCAGAGTTCAAACCCAGGAACTGCTCGTCGGGAGACCAGTGTGGTGATTGCTCCCATGAAGAGTACAGCTTCTGACATCCTCCAGGCCAACTCTGTCCTCTAGGGCGGCTCCGGTTGGAATTGACCACAACAGGCTTGGTTTGTTTTGTCACCGCGGGGCAGAGTATCAGAGAAGAGGAAATGAGTTTAACTTTTAGAACCGTTGGGTTTTCTGTCAAGCAATAAAGTTCAAGCCCCAAAATAGACCACCTGCTAGTCACAAACAAGGTGGTTGGGCTGGACCACATCAGCTCCATCCCAAAGGCTGGTTTTCCTTTGCAGAGGCTGCTTGGAAGCCATAACAAACTCTCTTCTCCGACCTGTCTGCCTGATAGCGTGTGTCCGAGTAGCAAGGGTGTCTGGGAGCCAGTGCTCCTAGACAACTGTGTCCCCAGGAAGCAGGAAGCAAGGGAGAACTGGAGACCCTCACACTTTAATAACGATGGTGTAAGATGTGCGAGGAGCCTTCAGAAAGCTAGCGGAAAACTGGAATTGAAAGCGATGGCGCATTTAGAGTGCCTTCAAGCAGGAATACGCTGCCACACACAATCTTCGGAACTTCTCTAGGGGTTAGTGTTCTCAGCCTCACCTCATAAATAAGGACCTTTTGTGACGAAACGCCAAGTATGTTGATCAAGGTGCCAGAGGCAGTAACTGGTACAGCCCAGGATGAATTCAACCACCGCCTGGCTGTAAAGCGCCGGCCCTCCCCAGCAGGTTGGGGCGTAATGAAAGCAAACCAGTAACTTCGCACAGAGAAGGCCCTTGGTTCATGAAGCTGGTACTGCTGGAAAGACCCTGCGGCTGACAAGCTTTGAGAAGGGCCCCTGGGAGCGAGGAAAGCCGATGTGGAGAAAGCGTGCTGCTCAGGGAGCCCAGGAGCCAGTGCTGATGGGGCATCTCAAAGCGTGTGTCTCCTTATCACCACCTCAGTGTGCAGCATAAATCCCCACCTTGATTTGACTGCACTGAGCACTGATCCAAACGGATGGAACTGATGGCCTGGGAAGTCCCTGTGGCAGAATGCCCCCCAAAAGTCCTGTCTGGCGCATTTGGAGGGGCCATGTCCCCCCACAGTTACGAAGCAGAATGGCCACAAGCCAGACCTGTGCTAGCATGGCAAGTTGCTCCCTCCGCATCACTCGCCATTGCCTACTGTCCGTCTCCTCGGGCAGCATCCTGCTTCCAGTGTGGAGGAGGAGCCGAGATCAACAGCCCTCGGGTGCCGGTTGTTTGGAAGGTGGAAAGCTCTGTGCCCCAGTTTATCACGGCCCTCTTCCCAGAGGAGTCCGCGAGCCCCCATTTAAGCAACAACGCTCCAGGAGGTCCCTTCTGGCTGGGACTCAATGAAACGGGGCCTCCTTTGTAGTAACACTGAAATGTGACATCAGTCATTAGCAATATTGAGAACTTCACAGTTCATGAGGGAGCTGACAAAAAGGAAGCCGGGAAAGACGAAAGAAGTAAGGACTAGGCTCCACGGGTTGGAGGTTAGCGGTGAGGGGCAAATCTCTGGGGCAAGACTCCAAATGAGGTTTCATCTGAATGGCAGGAACGAGGCTGGGGTGGGAAAGCTGAGGGCAAGCCGGTTCTTGCCTGTAAACTCAGTGAGCAGTCCAGAGACCCCCATCTTTTCTTGCATGAGCCCTGATGATTGGCACCCAGCTTCTCTCCTGGTCCACGGGCACCGGTCTCCAATCAGCCTAACCCTTCTATTGGGTCTCCAGGTATGGAAATGGGCTCCAGCATCTTCCCATATCCTCCTCGGTGTGAAGCAGCCAGTTGATCCTTTTTTGGGTAGTTTTTTCCAAGGGATTTGACTGCGATGAAAGATGGAAACAAGCAGGTCTCCCTTCTAGAGCATCTCCACCCTCGTGCTCCATGCCCGGCTTCTCATTCCTCCACTGTGGGAAGAAGGAAGAGTCTGGGGAGAGGCCACAGTGAGGGCTGGAGCGCATCTGCCCAGCAGGGCTCTGCTGAAGTGCTGACCTAAGCACTAGGGAAGCGGCTCTTTGGGTACAGAGGTGAGGAGACAGGTGTAGACAAATCCCAATCCAAAGCTCCTGCCATCGGGTCCGTTCTGACTCATCGCAGCCCTATGTAGAGTTTCCGAGGCAGTCGATCTTTATGGGAGCAGATCATCTCAACTATCTCTCACAGAGCAGCTGGTGGCTTTGAACCACCAACCTGTCAGTTAGCAGTCCAATACCACTGATGGGTCCTGCACTGGGGCTGGGGAGGTCTAAGCGTCACAATAGCAGGAGGAAGAAAAACTACTGGAGTTGGGGATCTCCTCTCTTGACTTTTCATCCTATTTTTGCTTGCCTACAAGCTACTCCTGCCAGAACCCATTCTCCTAACCCTAGAACGAATGAGAAAGGGGTAGGGAGAGGGTAGACAGGGTCCCAGGGAGAGTACCCGTCCCTGAAGGCCAGGGTATGCAAGGAACCATAGAGAACTCTTCATGGATGAGTCTACATATGCTTAGACATGGAAACACACCTGTCTGAGAGAGCTCTAAATATGTTGCCTTTTCGTGTATTATTACTTTAAGACTATAGATTATTCGTTATTTTAGATTCTAGTGATTATTGTTTTAAAACTATAGATTAATTTTAGCTGATATGAGAAATGGAATTTTAAAGACGGAAACTGATGTATAACCCTGTTTGAAAAAGACCAGATAATTATATCATGTCCTGTGTTTCTCCCAATTTTTCACTGCACAGATTGGTCTACAAATGGTTTCTTCTAATCTACAAACTCAGTTATGCCTTTGGTGTTGTGGGCTACTTGGCTATCGTGTTTACAATGTGTGGATTCAATTTCTTTTTCATGTAAGTATCTCCAATGGAGACATCCCTTTCTGCCAAAGCGCTTTCTTGGAACAGTCCCCTGGTCGAGTTCTTGATCCAGAAGTAGCATTTGGCCCTGTCTCCAAGGCGCACACGATGTTTACGGAATGGCTAGCTATCCACGGACAGTCTTGTCATTCGGGGAGCCCAACAGAGAGAAAACCCTACAGCATGAAAACGTACAGATTAGAAGCTTTAAAGAGGATCAGTACGTGAGCTGCACTTTTTAAAGATCACCTTTGAGAGTAGACCCAACATGGAGGCATATTCATCCTCCAAACGAAACCGCACTGCCCTCCCTCGTCAATTCCAACTCACGGCCAGCTTACAAGACAGGGTGGAACTGCCCCTGTGGGTTTCTGAGACTGTCGCTCTTTTTTTAAAAAATCATTTTATTAGGGGCTCATACAACTCTTATCACAATCCATACACACATCAATTGTGTAAAGCACATTTGTACATGCATTGCCCTCATCATTCCCAAAACATTTTCTCTCCACTTAAATCCCTAGCATTAGGTCCTCATTTTTCCCCTCCCTCCCCGCTTCCCCCTCCCTCATGAGCCCTCGATAGTTTATTAATTGTTATTTTGTCATATCTTGCCCTGTCCGGAGACTGTCGCTCTTTAAGGAAGTGTAGAAAGCCTCCGCTTTCTCCCACGAGCAGCTGGTGGTCCCTCCCACAAAATTCTGAGTTGTCCATGTTTCCTTTTGTAGACCTCTTTCTTAAAACCTCTAGAATTCTGTTGTCCAGTTTGATGGACACTAGATCCTGTGACTATGGATCACTGGAATGTGGCTGGTGGTCTGAAAAGAGCTATGCTGTGAGTCTAAAATACACGCCAGACTTCAGACTTAATATGAAAAAAATACATCTATATGGCAATTATACCTTGAGATGCCAGTACTTTGGCTATATTGGCGGAATGAAAGTCACTATTTGCTTTTACTTGCTTATTGTGAACACACTGACATCAAGTCCTTTCCAGCGCATAGCAACCCTGTCTATGGGGATTCCGAGACTCTAAGTCTTGACAGGGGCAGACAGCCCTCATTCATCTCCACCAGAGCGGCCGATAAGTTTGAACTGCCAGTCCTGTGGTTAGCAGCCCAACGTCGAACCCGCATTGTCACCAGGGCTCCTTATGTGGCCACTAGCAAACGACATCCCATATGGGGCTCATTTTATTGCTACAGGCTAGCACTGCTCTGGAAGTTCCTTTCCGGTCTCCAGGAAAGTTCTCGTGGGGGACACAGTTGGTAAAGGAGGATGGTGAGTCCTTACACAGATAAAGGGATGACAGCAAGGAAGGACAGAAAGACAGGCGAAATAAAGGAACTAGAGCCCCTTATGTGTGTGACTCAGAATTGTGCTCCCATCAGGAGTGCGACTGCTGCGATGGACCTTGGATGACATTATCCCGGGCTGAGCTGAGGCGCTGTAACCGGTTTGTGTGTTAGGAAGGGGATTTAAAACATACCAGAAAAACAGCTTAGCTGAGCACTCCCCAGAATCTCTCTCATATGGGTAGTATTGTACATTTCTGGGATTACAAGAGAAATCGAAAGGCAGGCATCATTAACTCTTGACTCATAAAGAAAGCAAATGAATAGAGTCAGCCCTGGGGAAAGACTTCCCTTGACCACAGAGCAATCTCATTTTATGAGCACATCATGAAACGTTCAGACTAACATCTCCTTAGCATGGAAGGGGGAGAAATAATAGTACAGATCTATTATTGCTAGTCTAAGATATAGAAAGACACTGTTACTTATTTTTTGGCATACTGTCTGTATCGCTTTGTTTTAATGAATTTAAAACTATTCGTAAAACATTTCAAAAGTCCCTTGGGACTATAGTTGTCCCAAATCTATTACCTCATAAGACTTTAAGATTCTTACACCATGTGGTGTATCAAGAATTTAACCCTTCAGGTTGGGAAGAACTGTATTTCACTAATTAGTGTTGATCATCATTGTATTAAGGTTCATTTCTATGAGGCCGGGAGTTTGTTACTATGTGTTCTATCAATAAGATTATGAATACGTGTTCCTGGGGAAGTAGGGGAAAGTTAATATTGTTTAACGTTTCATGGTGAATTGGGTGAAGGATTCCAGGGTCGATCATCAATTTTATGTTCAACAATTCACGCACATTTTGTTTAATCTTATTCTTTGCCATCCCCTCAAATAACACCACGTATCCCACCTTCTCCTGTGCTTTCTAATCCCATCCCTCTTTTTGCCCTTACCTTTCTGAACTTCAGCCTCGAGTGAATGCTGCCCTTTTGATTGCAAATGGTTGATTGTTCTCAGGTGTACATACTTCGCTGGTGTTATTGTTCTCCTTAAGAGTCCCGTCTGTTGTTTGGCTAAAAGTTGGGCCATGATGCTGAGTTCTGCCCCAAACCTGAAGGGCACCTAAGCACTATAGTCTTGGGGGTGTTCCACCAGTCTCTGGGAAAAAAAATCTTAATTATTCCAGTCCCACTTCCCAAACTATCAAGCATGCCCAGGGGGGTACTGTAAGGAGGAGGCCACCACCCTTGTTGGGGTCTCCCAGAGACCTTCACATCTACAAGCTCTCTGCCCTGCCCATTGCAGGTTAGCAGCACACAAGGCAGGCAGGAGAAGTAGAAAGCCCTCCCCGCTCCACCAGCTTCCCTGACTCGGTCAGACCTCCTCAGACTCTCGGCTGGTATTTGAGACTCTTTCGAGGTAAAGCCAACTGAACCTGTAATGATTACCATTTGGAGATTAAATTAGGGGTAACTCTTCACTTTAGGGTTGCTGTGAGTCAGCAATGATTCGTTGGCAGTGAGTTTTGGGGTTATTCGTTTGTTTGTTTTTCAATTCTTAACTTCTCTCTCTCTTTTTATGTTTTAAATTGGGAGATAATACAAACATCATTCCATAGTTCAATCACATCAAGCAGTATGGTACACTTGCTGCCACAATCACTTTCCAGACAGTCTTTTCCTTCCTGGACTCCTCGACATCATCCCCCTTTTAAGCCTCCACCACCACTGTACCCACCTCCACAGCCCCCACACCTTTATTCCACTTGCTGACCCTGTGATGCCACCCCTCCATGACTACCACTGTGTGTTAGTCTGGGTGCTTTAGAGAAACAAATTCACTCATGTAAAAGAGAGAGTTTATATACAGGTTAAGTGTGCAGCAGGAAAACATCCCAACCCCAGGCCAGCGCAGACAACAAGTCCAACATTAAAACATTAACCCATATGTCCAACACCAATCCACAAAGTCCTCCTCCATCTCACAAAATACACACTATGATGCCGACTGCAGGAGGAAAGCCAAGTCAGTGAACATGTAATCATCTCAGCGCTGGCAGGGGTCTCCACACGGGTGCTCCAGCACCCAGGGCTGCATCGGGGTAGGTCCATGCAGCTTCTCCTTGAGGATGCCTTGCAGGAAGTGAGATTTGCCAGCTGAAGCAGGGAACCGGCTAAAGCAGCTGCACCCTGGTCCGACCATCAGAAAGCAAGAGACCCGAGAGCTTGAAAGGTGAGGCTCACGGAGCCATTTATCGCTCCATCCTTCAATTAACCCCACATGTGTTTAGCAGCCAGGCTGGTACAATAAACTACCTCACACTGTAATCCCTCCAGAAACCCTTATTCTACTTGCTTTCCCCCTGGGTTCATCAATCCTGGGTTTCATAGACTGAACAACATATAGCACAAATTCAAGAGGGTGCCCCCCCAGTGACATAACACATCTGAGATAAACCCCACTATGAACAAACAATAAACCCAAAAATACAGAAAATGTTGAAAACCAGATCAGGCCTAATGTGCATCCGAGGGGAGATCAACTGACAAAGTTTTAAGAACAATTAGTTCTTACCTCATGGCCTTGCTCCATGCTCACCCTCAAGAAGGGAACACAGAAGATATGTGGTGAAGACGTTAGGTGGTGCCCAGCTATCAGATAAAATAGCATCTGGGGTCTTAAAGGCTTGTTTCCAAACAAGCAGCCATCCAGGTGAGATGTCGACCAAGTCCACATGGGAAGTAGCGCACCATCATCAGTCACCCAATGATTGTAAAACGCATCATCCGAAGGAGGGAGTCGTATCAGAGCCTAAATTGCGAGAGGCTGGTTTGCAGAAGACTCGTGATGACAGGGGAGTCTAACACACTCGTGGGAACTACGTAAGAAATAAGCGTCCGGTGATCTCCCTCTATCCCTAACAGAGGGATGGGAGGAAAGTGGTTACCAAACAGAGTGCACTGAAGAGATTACTATAGGAGATCAAATGATAAACCTGACACGAATGGCTTAAACCTCATCAGCTGATCCCCGCTTTGACGCACGTTAGGCTAGATCGGGTTTATTCACTTTGAAGGGAAAAGGACGGGGCTTTCTGGCCCCATCAAACGTTACAGCCTCGGACACCCGCAGGGGCAGTTGCACCCTGTTCTCCAGGGTCCCTATGGGTCCGAGTCGACTCGATGGGAGTGAGTGAGATTCATTTTTATGAGAGCCCTGATGGTCAAGTGCTCACCTGCGAACCCAGAGGATCAGCAGTTCGAACTCACCAGCTGTCCCACAGGGGAAAGACGTGGCAGTCTGCTTCCTGAAGATGCACAGCCTTTGGGGGGGGGGTTCGACTCTGGCCTGCGGGGTGGCTGTGATCGGCATCCGCTCACCAGGAATGAGTCTGGTGTTGCCGTTCATTACCTTTAAAGAGATCCTTCCGTTTAAATAGTCAGCACAGAATCACAGGGTATCTGAAAGAGGACTCGGCCTACAAAAACATGTTTTGTTCACACGTGGCCACTATGGACTTCAAAACTTGTTAAGCAAATTATTTTTTCTAAATCCCCTTTTTAATGGAAAGGAGGGATGATAATATGCACGGTTAGAATTTGATAGAAAAGATACTATGTGCACGCGATCTGTACCACCCAGCAGGGGTGCTCCACACCAACTGGACTGTAGAATTGCCAAAGCAGCTCTTTAAAAATATCGCCATCCCGACCCCACTCGGGACCAATGAAAGGCCCTGAAGTCGGGGTGCAAGCATCAGTATATTTTTAAATTTCCCCAGGTGATTTTAATCTATCTCGAGGCTGAGAACCATTGCACTGTCACAGGGGCATACCTGGAGTCTGGGGACCTTCCGACCTCCTGCTGCACAGGCCGCATCCCCGGACATTGTGATGTTATCCACCTGGACTGTGGCCTGGGGTTGGAGATACTTCCAAGCCCCTGAGGGCTCCGTACGTGCAGCCCAGGTTGAGAACCACTGCTTAGAGGCTGTGCGTCCGAGCCCTGACGTTCTCCAACGCCCTTGAAGACTATTTCAAGAATTTCTTTGTCCGCTTAGCCCTGAGTAGTAAAATCTGAGAATTTATAGAATTTTGAAATATTTAGTGAGTGAAAAACAGCAGCATAAACAAATAAGGAGCCCTGGTGGTGTGGTGGCTACCCATTAGGCTACTGGACACAAGGTCAGTGGGTCGAACCCACTAGCTGCTCCAGGGGAGAAAGCCTTGGCTTTCTACTCCCGTAAAGAGTGAAAGCGGCGTGGAAACCCACAGGGGCAGTTCTACTCTGTCTTCGACGGTCACTGTCGGTCAGAATTGGCTTGATGGGACTTGATGGCAGAGAGCTTGGGCTTTGTGAAACAAGTGAACACCAGGCTCTGGAGACAGAAAGGCGGGAACTCATTCATGCTGTTGTTCTCGATAGGATCCAGGCTAGAGACTCCATGGATTTCGGCATTGTATCCTTGTTCTATGGCCTCTACTATGGAATAATGGGGAGAGACTTTGCTGAGATCTGCTCCGATTACATGGCTTCTACTATAGGGGTAAGTGATGATTTCGTCCTTTGAAACCATTCAATGCATGGTCTCACCCTCCCTACATGTTTATACCAGGCTTTAGCTATAGCAAGATTAATCTTTAAGTGTATGCTGATTACCTTTTCTTTTGACAGCATTTTAATAGTTAAGTATTTTTCCCAGCCCAGTTGCACCAGGGATTGCCCTTGCACTTAAATTGTCATTTGCGGATTACTTAGGGAATGCATCGTTTATGCAGGGTGGTTGTAAGAGAAATGCCACTTCCTTTAGATTGATTCTCACTTGTATGGCTGTTAGGGTCTCTCAGGTCAGTTCCGACCCATGACGATGCTGTGGACAGGAGAGCCAACACTGCCCGGTGCTGCGTGAACCTCACAGTTGTGGTCATGTTTGAACCCAGTGTGGCAGCCACGGTGTCAGCCCACCTTGAGAAACATCTTCCTCTTTTTGCTGCGCTGCTACTTTACCACGTATGATGTCCTTCTCCAGGGACTGGTCTTTCCTGACAAGTCCAAAGTATGTGACCTGAAGTCTCCCCATCCTTGCCTCTAAGGAGCATTCTGGCTGTACTTCTTCCTAGACCGATATGTTTGTTTCTGGCAGTTCATGGTACTTTCAATATTCTTTGCCGGCACCATAATTCAAATGCATCTATTTTCCTTCGTATGTGTTATTCAATGTCCAAGTTTCCCGTGTGTAGGAGGCCATTGAAAATAGTATGGCTTGGGTCAGGTGCACCTTAGTCTTCAAAGAAACAGCCTTGCTTTTAACACTGTCATGAGGTCTTGTGTAGCAGATTTACCCAATATAATCTCTTCTGATCTCTTGACGGCTTCTTCCATGAGCACTGATTGTGGACCTCAGCATGAAGAAATCCTTGCCTACTTCAAACTTTATTTTAAAATCGTTTTATTAGGGTCTCATACAACTCTTATCACAATCCATACATGCACCAAATGTACATTCATTTGTACATTCATTGCCCTCATCATTCTCAAAACATTTGCTCTCCACCTAAGCCCCTGGCATCAGCTCCTCATTTTTCCCCTCCCTCCCCACTCTCCCCTTCCTCATGAACCCTTGATAATTTACAAATGATTATTTTGTCATATCTTGCCCTGTCCGATGTCTCCCTTCACCCACTTTTCTGTTGTCTGTCCCCCAGGGAGGAGGTCACATGTAGAACCTTGTAATTGGTTCCCCCTTTCCACCCCACCTTTCCTCTACATTCCCAGTATCGCCACTCACACCACTGGTCCTGAAGGGATCATCTGCCCTGGATTTCCTGTGTTTCCGGTTCCTATCTGTACCAGTGTACATCCTCTGGTCTAGCCAGACTTGCAAGGTAGAATTTGGATCATGATAGTGGGGGGGAAGCATTTAGGAACCAGAGGAAAGTTGTATGTTTCATCGTTGCTACATCGCACCCTGACTGGCTCTGCCGACTTCAAACTTTTATCCATTTACCATGATGTTACCGACTGGTTCAGTTATGAAGATTTGGGTCTTCCTTACATTGAATTGTAATCCACATTGAAGGTTGGAATCCTTGATCTTCATCAGCAAGTGCTTCAATTCCTCCTCACTTTCAGCAAACGAAGTTGTGTCATCTGTGTATTTCAGGGTGTTAATAAGCCTTTCTCCAATCCTGATGCCACATTCTTCTTCCTATCATCCAGCTTCTCTGATGATTTGCTCAGTATACAGACTGAGTAAGTATGGGGAGAGGGTGCATCCCTACACATTGCATAGCACACAGGGTTTCTTTCTGAAGGTGTGAATCTTTAAAGGAGCAGACTGCCTCCTCGTTCTCCTCTGGTGCAGCTGGTGGGTTTGAACTGCTGACGTTCCAGTTAGCAATTCAATGCTAACTTGTCAGTGCCACCAGGGTTTGCCTTGGTCAATGAAATATGCCAATTATTTGAAGGTTATCTGGGGTACAGTGAATTATTTCATGTGACTCTTCTAGCCACCCTTGGTAACTCCCACCAAAGGACTGGGTAAGACTATGAAAATCTGAGGTGGTCCACCAGGGGATTGGAAAACTTGCTAAGAATTTAAATAAGGAACACGACACCTATGTGGAGTAACTAAAAAAACAAACCCACTGCCATCGGGTCCATTCTGACTTGTGGCAACCATGTGGAATGGGGCCATGTAATAAGGTGTATGGAATTCTAGCATCGTGATTGATAAGTCTGCCAGCCTGCTAGCTTTAAAATGAGTCACCTCAGAGGCAGAAATGAGGGATCTCACGACCATCAAGAAAGAAGAACCGGAAGCCCATCCTTGGAACCCCTGGATCCAGGAGACAGAGCCGTGACACCAAAGACAGCGAGAGATGGCAGATGATCAGTAGAGAAGCAGCAGAACCAAGAAGACTAGACAGAGCAGCTCCCGCCCCACCCAGAGTAAGGACACTGAGCAGGGGCAGCTCGATGGCACAGTGGGGTACCTCTGGGAACTTAATCCAGAGAGCTAGCGCTGAGCCCCTTTGGAGCAACGTTTACTGGCAGAGTGAATGCTTAATGAACAGAGCTACACTTGCACAAGCAGAGTAAAGCCCTAAGGACCACAGGACTGAGAAGCAGAGCTGTGTACCACTTGCCTAAACGGACTACAAGGCTGAGGGCCTGGGCATGCCTGCAAGCATGGCTGAGAGTAGGCTTTCTTGACCAACGAACAGTCTCCTGATCCTGAATCGCAACCAGTCAGCTCCCTCATAAACCCCATCATGATGAGCAGGGTGTGGCCGGTGCAACAAGTTATTGGCCCCAGAGGAGAGAGTGCTGTGTGAGGGATATCGGACCTTGGTGTCAGAGTGGAGGGATATCGGACCTTAGGCTTGGGTGATGCTGATGGTGCGTCTGCTCCTGCCCTGTCCCACCCAACTCTCGTGTGAAGGTCGAGGAGGTCAGGCGCAGCTCCCATGATCGGATCTACCTTATTCCAGTGACTAGCTATTAAGAATGAATAAAGATGAACAATAGAAAAACCCAAAACCCTTTAAATAACCCTGCCTCGGGTACATAAAAGTCCTAGTAGATGCTACATAAAGCATTAAGAACATGTATCATTGCATAACCTTTGAAGAAGGATAAGGTCAACAATGTTCAGCAAATATATGCTAAACATATACTGTTCCCTAGCATATTGTTTAATATCCCTTCATAAAGATGTTTTGGTTTGTTTTTTACTTCCTTAAAATGAAAAGTCAGGATGAGCAAGCATTCTGGTTGGACAAAGCCCAGAGAATGGGAGCACACAGCCATGTCTGACATGCCCTAGCGAGGCCTTCACAACCAGGGACCCGGCCCTCGTCGTCACTCTGCCCCACCTGTGCCACAGACGGCCGGGCCGTGGAAAAGCCAGTGTGAGCATCAGGAGGACAGTGATCTTCTGTCCTACTCTTACCTCTCCATTAGGGGGCAGAGGTGTAAGTGGACATGACCTGGACTTCAGGAGCACTTCATCTGCCCTTTCCCTCTACCCTAGCCTCTATCTGGCTTTTTCCCTACACTCTAACTTCGGTGGTAAAATGCTGGCTCAATATACCTTGCAGAATTTCTCTGCTATCAATTATTTCTCTTGTAGAGTTAAAGGTAAGGACAGGAGGGAGCATTTGCACCCCTGTTCCCCCAACACAAAGCAGAAACCATACCCCTTAGAAAACTCCCAGGGTCTCCTATGCTTGCTCACGGACAGGAGAGGCCGGGAAGGTGAGGTTCTTCAGGGGGGAACAGGAAGAAGAGATTTAACCTGGCAAGAGGACCACATCAACTTCCAACTAATCCCA